AAAAAAAAAAAAAAAAGGAAGGGGGGATTTATTTTTACCCACACATGCCCTTTGAGCAATTACAGGCAGTGTGGCTTCACAGTTAAGAACTGGATCTAGACCCAGGCGTAGGTGGCCCCTGACAAGTTACTTCCTCTGTGTCTTTCTGCAACTGCAAAGGGGAGGGAGGTGATAATGGCACCCCCTTCCCTCCCTCTTAGAGTTGACAAGCCTGGCACCCCAGAGCTCCAGGGACGGGGCTGTGACTTTCTGAATGCTACCACGTTTAGTGGACGGACAAGTCCCAGCCCTGCAGGAATCTACTCTAGTCAAAGGTGAGTTCCACTCTGATTCGAGGCGCCAGATGACATAGGGAGGTGGTCAGGTTGGCAGAGACGCAGCCACCTCTGGTCCTGGCTCCCCACGCGGCCCGCCGTAGGCGCTGGGGTCAGGGCCTGCTCTTGGGCTATGGATGTCTGGGCCCGGCTGAAGGATGTGGGGACACGGCCCCCGTGTGAATGGGGCAGCCTAGGTCGGGGGTCCCCAGTCTCACCGCCACCTCACCTGCCTCAGCTCGGTGGGTCTCCTGGCGCCAGTCAGCCGGCAGCGCGCTCCCGTTGCCGGGCGACCCGGTTGCCAAGCGACCCAGGCAGCGTCTGCAGCGCCTAGCTCCACTGCGCAGGCGCCAACAGCCCGAGGCCAGGGCCGGCTGCAGAACAAGACTACTTTTCAGGGTTACCGAGGGGAACAAAGGCGCCTTGGCATTGCTCAAGATACAGAAGGCAAGGGAAGTGACTTATTTGCATGCGCTTGATCCTCAGAGTAAATTCATGAGGAAGTAACAACGGTGTAGGGACCAGAACCTCAGAAAGAGTCAATAGAGTCCCCCAAATCACACAGGCCTGATCAGGACTGCCTAGCCCTGGCCCATGTTCCTAAATACAAGTAGAGGACAAATGAATGGCTCGGGACCAGCAGGTGGTGTGGTGGTTAAGACGCTGGGCACTCCCACATGGCCGACCACGGTTCGAGTCCCGGACCTGGTGGCTTGCTTTCTCACTTCCCCTCTTTCTTCTGTCTCCCTATCTATGTGTGTCTCTCTAGGGTCAAAATTTTTTTTAATGAATAAAATTCAATAAATAATTCTTTAAAAAATAGAAAAGAACAAATGAATGGCTAACAGCCTGGAATCAAGCTTTACCAAGTTCTTTCACCATCTCATATGGCCCTCACTGCAAATCCTTTGTTTTACAGCTGGGTGGGTAGACAGCACCGGAAGTAGAGCAACTTGCCTAATTAGGGTCAGCTCCTAAGCCTGAGACCTTAGCGTTGAAATTTATTACCGTAAGTTTTTCAAACATCAACCTCCAGCTTTGCTGCAGTGCCCATGTGCTCACTTGAGAGAGAGAGACAGAAAACAGAAAACAGGAACTCAGCGCCCAAGGGGGACGGCCTCACCATATCCCTTCTCCTCCATTCTCTTCTCAAGATTTTGGGCATGCACAAGCGTGCCTGGGTCCTGGACATGAACAGCGAACAGCGGTCCACCATGTGGGAGTCCAGCCACAAAGCCATTATGCCTTTTGCTGGTCCCTGGCACATTTCTCTTTGCGCTGAAGACGACTTAGATCTGTGCACAGTGATTCTGTACTGTGACAGAGAGCTCTCCATCTTCCCGCTGTCCTGCAAGAGACTGCGTCCTGAAGGGTTTCTCTCATTCAGCGTATTCTCGCTGCGCTATTGTTAGGATGGTGTGAAGAACGCTGGGCTGAGAAACTTCAGTCCCAATCCTAGTTCGAAATCCCTAGGCAAATCCTTTTAAATAGGGAAACTTAGACGTGATGTCTGTGAAATAAAGGAGTTAAATCAAGTAGATTTTCAAAACTGGGAACACTGGGGACCAGCAGTTAGCATAATGGCTATGTTGCTGAACTCCCATGTGGTTGACCGCAGTCTGAGTCCTGGACCCAGGATCTTAAACTCACGCGTGTGCGTGCGTGCCCAAGATCCCGAGAGGAGAACGGAGGAGAAGGGATTGCAGTGTGGCCATCCCCCCGGGGATGCTTTCTATCTCTCTGTCTCTCTCTATCTTTCTGGCGAGCGAATGAGCCCTATAGCAAAAGCCTCTATAAAATAAAAAAAGAAAAAACTGAGAACACTGGACCTCTCCTAATCTGTTTACCGGGCTTTTATAAGGATCTTTTTTTTTTTATACTCTTTTTTTTTTTTTTGGACAGGTTTTTGCGATAGGGCGTGTGCGCTCCCCAGAAAGACAGAGAGAGACAGAGAGATAGAAAGCCAGAAATCACCCCCCAGGGGGGATGGCCACACCGCAATCCCTTCTCCTCCATTCTCCTCTTGGGATCTTGGGCACGCACGCACATGCGCCCGGCGTGAGTTTAAGCCACCAGGTCAAGGACTCGAACCATGGTCAACTACATGGGAGTCCAGCGACATAGCCATTACACTAACTGCTGGTCCCAGATCTTTTCTTTTTCTAAACATAAACTAGCTCAGAGGAGCTGAGTAACTCAGATCAGCTTTTTTTAAAAAAATAATATTTTATTTAACTTTATTTACTTATTTATTTTAATTTGACCAGAGAGGGACAGAGTGAGAGAGAGAGAGGGAAAATGAGAAAGTAAGTCACCAGGTCCAGGACTTGAACCTTCATCAGACATGTGGAAGGCCAGTGCCCTTAACCACCACACCACTTGATGGCCCGGTCAGCTTTTTAAGTTACTTATTTAATTTTATTTATCATTATTGTTATTTTTAAATTTGCTACAGGGCATGTGTGATCACCAGAGAGAGACAGAGAGAGGGAAAGTGAGAAAGCAAGCCGCCAGGTCTGGGACTCCAACCACAGTCAGCCATGTGGCAGTCCAGCCCACACCTGCGGGCCCTTGGATCAGCTTTTAACGGCCATTAATTAAGGAAATTAATTTTGCAGCCTGAGCTCTAGAAACCAGAGTATGATATTCAGACACTGAATTAAGAATTATGCAGATAAGGTCGGTAGATGGTAAGCATGTCTATCCCTTGCGGCTGCAAAGTGCTTGACTTCAATCAAAACCAATATTACTGCAAGAGCTCTTATGCCAGGATTGCCATCCCCCCTCCCTGTCCGGGATAGCCAGAGCGGCCCTCCAGGGCGACTCCGCCCGCGGTTCACCCCACCCGGACTCCGCCCCTAGAGCTCGGCTCCACCCTCTGGCCGCTATGGCCCCGCCCACCGCCCCTATCCGGCACCGCCCTCGTTGTCATGGTAACACCCCGCGTTCCAGCGTAGGGCGATCTCTCCGCCCCCAGCTCCGCCTAGACTCCAGGGATCGCGGCCGGGATCGCGGGTGCTGGCTACGTGCGAGACTCTCAGCCGTCAGCCCCGCCCAGAGCCCGCCCCCGACGTTCAGGATTCGTCAGACTCCTGCCAGTCCAGGGTGGCCCTCGTTGCCATGGTGATCGCTGCCGCGAGCCCAGCCGGACCAGGCCGCGCGGAGCCCACAATATTGGCAGTCACGGGTGAGTCCAGCCGCTCCCTCTGTCCTCCCGACGGCTCGCGAGCATGCGGGCATGTCCCAGAGGCTGGCCTCCCCAGGACGCCGCGTCCCCGCCCACCTCCTGCCCCCATAGCCTGAACACGCCTGCGGTCTGAGCGCGGTATAGTTCGTGAGCGCACGCCCTGGGCCAGGTCGGTGCTGGACTCAGAGAGAGACCCACAGGACCTTGGTCAGGGCCACCCTGGTGGAGAGAGGAGACCTGGACAGGGAGAGGAAGCCGAGGGCTGTTAATGAGGCTGGAGGGGCCCGGCCCTGGGTAGCAGGAGGGCTTTGGGAGCAGGGGAGGCCTAAATCCTGAAGCTCCCAACTCCTCCACCCTGCACCACCCGGGGCCTTCATCCTGTAGACCAGGAGCAGGAGACCCCGCGCCACTCCGCTTCCTCTGCCAGGGCTGGTGTTTGTGCCAGCTTAGGAGACCCTGATTCTGTCACTCCCAGCCAGGAAAGGACAGATCTAGTCTCCCACACCATGCCACCTGCAGACAGAGAGCTGGCCGGACTTCCTCTAAGTCCAGATAGCCTCTGCCCGGTATCCCTGAAAAGGAGAGGACCTTGAATCTGGTCTTGAAGCTGATGAAACGTTAGGCAGAAACGCTGGGGTGAGTCCCGAAGGAGTTGTGCAAGTCCCTCACTTTCTTTTTCTTGGTTCCTCAGGACTCTGGAAGGATGAAGTCCTCCCTGCCGCCTTTGGGGCCCCCTGTGAGTCGGGACCGTGTCATTGCCAGCTTCCCTAAGGTATGGTTATGAGGTCAGCCCTTATATCTGCGCTGCTGTTCTGACACTGGCAAAATCAGCAGTTTTCCAACCTGGTCTCACCCCCAAAAATAAGGCAGGTGAACCGGGGAGGTCTGTCCCTCACCAAATTCACTAGACTTCTCCTGGAGAATCGGGGACAATGACAATTCACTCGCCTAAGGCAGGTCAGCATTGAAACTTTATTTAAAAAGCTTATTTATAGGGACCAGCAGTTAGCGTAATGGCTATGTTGGGTGACTTAAACTCACAGTGGGCACGTGTGCATGCGTGCCCAAGATCCCGAGAGGAGAATGGAGGAGAAGGGATTGCGGCGTGGCCATCCCCCCTGGGGGGTGAATTCTCGCTTTCTGCCTCTGTCTGGCGAGTGCACGCGCCATATAGCAGAAACCTCTCCAAAACACACACATATACACACACACACACACACACACACACACACGAGAGAAATACCGTCTCTTTAAAAATCAAAATTAAAAAGTCAGGTTTTCTTTTTTTTTAAAAAAGTGAATTATTGGGAACCAGCAGTTCTGTAATGGCTATGTCGCTGTAATGCCATTCGTAATGGCTATGTCGCTGGACTCCCATGTAGTCAACTGCGGTTCACGTCCCAGACCCGGTGGCTTGGAACTCACGCCGGGCGCATGTGCGTGCATGCCCAAGATCCTGAGAGGAGAATGGAGGAGAAGGGATTGCGGCGTGGCCATCCCCCCGGGGGTGATTTCTCGCTTTCTGTCTTTATGTCTCTCTCTGTCTGTCTGGCGAGTGCACACGCCCTATAGCGAATAATACCTCTCAAAAAAAAAAAAGTGAATTATTTGATTTAACTTTATTTACTTTTTAAAAAATTTGACTAGAGAGGAACAGAGCGAGAGCGAGAGAAAGTGGAGGTCCAGGACTTGAAACATGGTCAGCCATGTGGAAGTCCAGAGCCCTTACCCCCCATGCCACCTGCTGGCCCCCAGCTTTTCTGATGAAGTAGCTAGTACTCTTTTGCATGACTGTGGACTGTGGACTAAGCATTAGTCAGTTACTCCCACAGTGACCCCATGAAAAGATGCTGTTTACAGATGAGGAAGCTGGGCTCAGTGATGCTTCATAACTGGCTCTTTGCAAAGCTGCCCTCACTGTCCGTGCAGCCTCTGTCACTGCTAGCGCTGAGGGCCGACGGGCAAACACAGAGCCCGAATCCAGGCCTGACACCCTGCAAATGGGCGCTGAGGCTGGGGCAGGGAGCATGGAGATACAGAGCCATGGCCAAGGACCACTGCCGTACACAGAGGGGCATGCCAGCACCTTCCCATGGTGCCCTCCCCATATCCTGCCACATCCCCAACTGAGGGCCAGACATCATGGCCATGTTTAGTTTGTTTACGATTCATTTTTCTAATTATGAAACAAATATGTCATCACGTCTTCACAGCTATGAACGTTTGCTGAGCTCTCAGCATATGCCAGGCTTGATCTGTGGTGGTGGCTTTACAAATGTGCTCATTTTATGCTCCCAAGTCTCTGATGGGGAAGGTCATGTTCGGAGACGATGCACAGCTGCCCAAGGTCCGTCGAGGGTAAGGGTGGGTGCAGTTCTTGCTGACCCTGACGGCTGTGCTCTTCAACTACTTCTCACTTTCGTCTTCTAAGAAAGGTGGAAGACAGGGACCAGCAGATGGTGTCATGGCTGCGTCGCTGGACTCCCATGTAGTTGACCGCAGTTCAAGTCCTGGACCTGGCTGTTTAAAACTCATGCCGGGTGCATGTGCATGTGTGCTTAAGATTCCAAGAAGAGAATGGAGGAGAAAGGATTGCGGTGTGACCATCCCCCTAGGGGGGAGGGGGTGACTTCTCGCTTTCTGTCCCTGTCTCACTGGCGAACGCAAAAATCTCTCTTAAAAAGAAAAAAAAAGGAAGGTGGAAGACAGAAAGTATCTTCTAGGACATTTCCATGCATGTGTATACATATTTTTAAAGTTTATTCATTTCACTGTTTTCCATGAAAGAGAGAATTGGAGAAAGGGAGAGAGACAGGCACCCCCAGCTGAGCTTTCATGCATGGTCCACCCCTTGTCTTAGCCAGACCAGGTCGTGGGCGTGCCTAGTGTGCACAGGTTGGTCCTGGGACTTGAACACGTGTAGATCCAGTTGCATTGCTGCTGTGTTACTGCCTGGCCCCATTTTTTTTTGTTTTGGTTTTGCCTTGGGCACATGCACTCACCAGAGAGTGAGAAAGACAGTGAGAGGGAAGGTGAGAAATCACTCCCCCCCGGGGGGGGGGGTTGGCCACTCCACAATCCCTTCTCTTCCATTCTCCTCCTGGGATTTTGGGCATGCATGCACATGTGCCTGACATGAATTTCAGGCCACCCGGTCCAAGACTCAAACCATGCTCGACCATGTGGGAGTCCAGTGACGTAACAGCTAAGCCATCTGCTGGCTCCTGGCCCCATAGCTTTAAGACAAAAATAGCATCAGCAATCTGTCCCGTTCATCAGGTACAGAAGGATCTTGAAGTCCAAAGGGGCCTCATAGACCACCCCGTGTTTTCACTTCAAGAGGGCCAAGGTCTCGGGACCAGCAGTTAGCGTAATGGCTATGTTGCTGGACTCCCATATAGTCGACCGCAGTTCGCGTCCCAGACCTGGTGGCTTAAAACTCACACCGGGCACGTGTGCGTGCGTGCCCAAGATCCCAAGAGGAGAATGGAGGAGAAGGGATTGCAGCCTGGCCATCCCCTCTGGGGGGTGATTTCTCGCTTTCTGTCTCTCTGTCTCTCTCTGTCTGTCTGGCGAGCGCACGCGCCCTATAGCAAAAACCTCTCAAAAAAAAAAAAAAAAAAAAAAAGAGGGCCAAGGTCTAGAGAAGGCAGAGGCCGACCCCAGGAAGGGCTACCCAGATGAGCCCCAGCCCTGCGAGGCGCTGCATGGGCTCTGTGATCTGGCCTGGCCCCCACTACGCCAACTCTGGACTCACAGGTGAACTGGAGGCCTGGAGCCCAATTAAGACAAATGGGTCAGGGATGCAAATGAGGCCCAGGGGAGAGGGAATGCTGGGAAGGACATGACCACCTTGCAGCCCGTCTGTCTCCGGTCTCTCTGCAGTGGTACACGCCAGACGCCTGCCTGCAGCGCAAGGAGCAGTTCCACGGACAGGTCAATGAAGCCTGCCAGCACAGACACACAGGAACTGTCGGGTAAGCCCGCAGGGCAGGGCGTGTAGGGGGAGACAGCAGAGAAGAAGGAGCACAGGGATGAAAGGGCGAGCAAATGAGACACAGGCTAGGCCAGTGCAACCCAGTAAAGGCCTGAAGACGACTGGGGTTTCATTTTTTGAATTTTTCTTTTTTAGAGAGGTTTTTGCTATAGGGCACATGCACCCGCCAGAGAGACAGAGAGACAGAAAGCAAGAAATCACCCCTCAGCGGGGATGGCCACGCCGCAATCCCTTCTCCTCCATTCTCCTCTCAGGATCTTGGGCACACACGCACACGCACCTGGCGTTAAGTTTAAGTCACCAGGTTCGGGACTCGAACTACGGTCGCCTACGTGGGAGTCCAGCAACATAGCCATTACACCATCTGCTGGTTCCTGAATTCTTTCTTTCTTTCTTTCTTATTTTTAATTTGATCAGAGAGGTATAGAGTGAAAGAGAGAGTGAGAAAGTTAGCTGCCATGTCTGGGACTTGAACTGCGGTCGGCCATGTGCGGGTCCAGTGTCCTTAGCCACTATCATGCTACCTGCCAGCCCCAGACAACTACGGTTGTATCTGGCTTTGTTTGACATGCCCCACCATGTGGAACAGCTTTCCCTTTTCTCAGTCATTGTGCACGGTGATTTTCAGCCTGAGATCCCAGCACAAGTTTCTTTCCTCTGTCTGGAAGGTCCCCTTCTCCTCCAGGTCTCATTGTAAGTCTCAGGTCCCCAGGGAGCCTTCTCTGACCCCTTCGACCCCTGTCCTCCTGTCCCCTTCTGTGTGTTCTTGTGCCCTAAGAACTTATCTGGTGGAATTACAGGTTTACCTGTCTGGATTCTTCACTAGCCCAGGAGGACCAGGACTGTGTCTGAACTGTTCCCCCAGGATTTCTCAGCGGTCATTCCATTATTTATTTGTTTATTTGCCTGGCATGTTTTTCAAGCTACTGGGTCCAAGACTCAAACCCTAGTAGTTGGCCATGTGGGATTCAACCACCTTACCTACCATGCCATGCCGTAGACCCAGTCTTAGTTATTCCTTCTTTTTGTTTTTCTTTTTGTTAAGTTTTGCTTTTAGGTTTTTGCCATAGGGTACATGTTCTCAATGAAGAGAGAGAGAGAGAGAGAGAGAGAGAGAGAGAAACACAGAGAACGAGAAAGTGAGAAATTACCCAGTCACACCCCAGGGGGAATACCCATGCCACAATCCCTTCTCCTCCATTCTCCCCTTGGGATTTTGGGCATGCACACACATGTGCCTGGTGTAGTTTTTAAGCCACTGAATCCAGGACTTGAACCAAGGTCAGCCATGTGGAAGTCAAGCGCCTTAACTGCTATGGCACCGGATGGCCTATTATTTCTTCTAACAAACAGGTATAAAGATCTGCTTTTGCCCCTCACCCTGAGGAGTTTTCAGTCTGCTCAAGGACTTGGTTGAACTCACAACCAGCAGATGGCATAACGGTTATGTCGCTGGACTCCCACGTAGTCAACCGCGTTTGAGCCCCTGACCCCACCTGGCTTCAACTTGCTTATGCCGGGTGCATGTGTGTGCATGCCCAAAATCCTGAGAGGAAAATGGAGGAGAAGGGGTTGCGATGTGGTCATCATCCTTGGGGAGTGATTTCACGTTTTCTGTCTCTTTTGTCTCTCTGGTGAGCACAAGCACCCTATAGCAAAAATCACTCTCAAAAAGAAAAAAAAAAAAACAAAAAACAGAAAGAAAAAGAAACACTGCTTCAGAGTGCAAGAGGCTGACGGAGTGTGAGGGTGGCAGCTGCTCTCAGTGAACTGTGTCCTCAGAGAGCCTTAGAACTCCAGAGCCAATTTGCCAAAAGCTACACCCCAGATGTGCAGACCCAGCGTCTTGACCACGGTGCGCCATGACACCTGTAAGTGACCTTTCTGACACTTACAGACATCTCCAAGTGAGCAGGATGGCAATGATGTCCCGAGGAGGGAGAGCGTGCTTGCAGGAAGCCACAGGCAGGTGTGTGAGAGGGCACCAGGGCTGCCCGCCTGCCCCTTGACCAGCACCTCCCTGCGTGAGGGCCCTGTGTCTGCACCGTCAGCACATCACCCTCCTCCCCGAGCTTGGATTTACCCATTGGCCCCCATCTTGGGCCCCTGCCTCTGCCTCCTCGCCCAGACTCGGCCTGCTCATTTCTTTCTTTTTTTTTCTTTTTCGGAGAGGTTTTTGCTATAGGGCGCATGCGCTCGCCAGACAGACAGAGAGAGACAGAGAGACAGAAAATGAGAAATCACCCCCCCCAGGGGGGATGGCCACGCCACAATTCCTTCTCCTCCATTCTCCTCTCGGGATCTTGGGCACGCACGCACACGCGCCCGATGTGAGTTTTAAGCCACCGGGTCCAGGACACGAACCGCGGTCGACTATGTTGGAGTCCAGCGACATAGCCATTACGTTAACTGCTGGTCCCTCGGCCTGCTCATTTCTAACTCTCAGGACAGCCACTCTGGCCAAGTAGGGTCAGGGCCGCAGCCCCAGGGAAGCAGAGTCCCCAGGACAAACAGGCTCTTCCATCCTCCCCTGAGGGACAGAGTGTCTCACCAAGGTTGTCCATCCTGTGTCTAGGACTGAGAGGTGGCTCACCAGCAGAGAGCTGGGTGAAGGAATGGTGTGTGTGTGTGTGTGCACGTGTATGCACGTGTGTGTGTGCACATCTGCACATGCTCTGGAAACCATGCCCAAGAGCAACGTGGACACGTTTTTCACAGGCTCAAACTCTCCAAGGTGGTGGTTGTTGGTGATCTCTACGTGGGGAAGACCAGCCTCATCCACAGGTGCGCCCTGCCTGCTCCAGGTTGTCACACCTTTGCCTGGGGAGCCCCGATAACGTTGTCATAGGGTGAACCGAGTGGCCCCTGGGAACTGTTCCGCCTCAGCCTGGTGGGAGCCAGATAGAGGGAATGCCGGAAATCAGGGAGAAGGTGGGGCTGCGGCGTCCCAGGAGCCTGGCATTGTCACACTGTCCCCCTGAGGCCACAGGCTCCCTTCAATACTGTGCTCCCTGCACACGGATGTCCAGTTTCTGTCACCATTTCCAATCTGCAGTGTTTGCCCTTCAGGCTGCTGTGGACGTCCCCCACACCGTCTCGTTGGCTGCTCTGTCCGTCCCTGGCCTCCGTGGAGTCGCGCGTCCTTTTAAGTTCCCTATTGGTGGGTTTATCTGCCTCCAGACTTTCACTGTCACGAGCAAAGCTCCAGGGGGGGACACCCCTCTGATGAACTCCTTGCCTCCCACAGGTTTTGCAAGAATGTGTTCGACCGAGACTACAAGGCCACCATCGGGGTCGACTTCGAGATCGAGCGCTTTGAGATCGCGGGGGTCCCCTACAGCCTGCAGATGTGAGTCGCCATCACCTCGTGCTGGCGTTCATGTGGCCCAGGTCTGGGCAGCCTGAACACGCCTGGCACAGGCCTTGGCAAGCTCCTTCTCCGCTCCGCCCTGTGACACTCACCAAGGACCTGTGTAGACAAGCAGGGGTCGTGGAGTCGTGCTGTGAAGCCGCTGTCGCAGCTCCCGCCTGCTCTGGGCACTCCCTCAGTCCCTCGTTTGTGTCACGTTGGTCTGGGGAGTGTTCTCACAGCCCCCTCCTCTGATGGCCTCCTGTTCCCGCCAAGGCTCAGCCCCTTCCCCAGGCTCTGGCTCCAGCCCTTCTCTCACCCGGATCTCCTGTGATTCCACTTGCCAGACCAGCATGGCGGCCGCTGGCTAGTTGCTCCCAAGCTCTGAGCCTCTGTGCCCCGCTGTAAAAAGGGGCTGCATCCAGTACCTGCCTGCCAGGCGTGGGCAAGGAGCACTCCCCCACTCTTCCTTCCTTCTGCCGGCCTCCATGCCTCTGCTTCTCAGTGGCCCCTGGTGTCAGCCCCTTCCCTCTACTTCCCTCAGAATGATGCAGGGTAGGGACCAGCAGTTGGCGTAATGGCTATGTTGCTGGACTCCCACGTAATCGACCGCAGTTCGAGTCCCAGACCTGGTGGCTTAAACTCACGCCGGGCACGTGTGCGTGCGTGCCCAAGATCCCAAGAGGAGAATGGAGGAGAAGGGATTGCAGCGTGGCCATCGACCCTGGGGGGTGATTTCTCGCTTTCTGTCTCTCTGTCTCTCTCTGTCTGTCTGGCCAGTGCACATGCCCTATAGCAAAAACCTCTCTCAAAAAAAGAAAAAGAATGGTGCAGGGTCTCTGCCCAGGCTCACCCTTTCCCATGTCAGCTAAAGCAACTTCTCTCCCCTCTGGCACCTGGAGGGTGCTACAGGCCTGCCCTTGGCTTCAGCCCTCTTCGAACTCCTGCCCGGCCCATTCACCCTTCCATGGGCTCCTGGAGGTCTGTGCGTGCCCTGTTGCCTGCTGGCGTTCACCAGCCTCTGTTCTGGTTCTCTTTCTCTCTCCCTGGGTTCCTGCCTCGCTTCTTGTTCTAGCCTACTTCCTTACTAATAACAACATACCTGTGATCAGGGAATTTTTGAGTTTTTTAATTTTATTTTTAGAGAGGTTTTTGCTAGAGGGCACGTGTGCTCGCCAGACAGACAGAGAGACAGAGACAGAAAGCGAGAAATCACCCCCCAGGGGGGATGGCCACGCCACAATCCCTTCTCCATTCTCCTCTTGGGATCTTGGGCATATACACACACGGCCCCGGTGTGAGTTTAAGCCACCGGATCCAGGATTCAAACCATGGTCGACTACATGGGAGTTCAGTAACATAGCCATTATACTAACTGCTGGTCCTGTGCTCCTTTTATTATTATTATTTTTTTGCCTTAGGGTGCATGCACTTGCCAGAGAGTCAGACAGAGAAGAAAAGTGAGAAGTCCCCCCCTGGGGGGTTGGCCATACTGCAATCCCTTCTCTTCCATTTTCCTCTTGGGATTTTGGACATGCACACACACGCACCTGGAATGTCTTTTAAATCACCAAGTCTCGGACACAAACCTCGGAGTCAGCCATGTGCAGTCCAGAGCCTTAACCACCATGCCACCTGCTGGCCCCACTATGTGCCTTTTAAAAAGAAAACAAATAGGGAACAAGCAGTTAATGTAATGGCTATGTCGCTGGACTCCCACGTAGTCGACCGCAGTTCGCATCCCGGACCTGGTGGTTTAAATCTCACGCTGGGCGCGTGTGTGTGTGTGCCCAAGATCCTGAGAGAAGAATGGAGGAGAAGGGATTGCGGCGTGACTATCCCCCCTGGGGGGTGATTTCTCGCTTTCTGTCTCTATGTCTCTGTCTGTCTGTCTGGTGAGCGCACGCGCCCTATAGTGAAAACCTCTCCAAAATAATAAAGAAAACAAATAAACAAAAAAAATTTATTTATTTAATTTTATTTATTTATTCATTTATTTTAATTTGACCAGAGAAAGACAGACACACTGAAGGAAAGTGAGAAAGCAAGCCACTAGATCCGGGACTCAAACCGCGGTCAGCCATGTGGGAGTATCCAGCGCCTTAACCACCACACCACCTGCTGGCCCCCCACTATGTGCCTTTTAAGGGAACTGAAGTCAGAAGGGACTGAGTGCAACTCCATTTGCCTGAACAGTGGCCCTACTAATGCCACGCCCTTCCCTCTATAGGCTCCCTACTCCCTTGAGATTCTCCCCTGGGGCATCCTCGGAGGGGGTCATTAGGAGCTGGTCTCACCTGTGGTGCCATCAGCCCGTTGGCTCAGAACATTGTGGTGGCTCGACCTCCCACTAGTGTTTCTGTTTCTCTCCCACCGCACAGCTGGGACACGGCGGGGCAAGAGAAGTTCAAATGCATCGCATCGGCCTACTACCGGGGCGCCCAGGGTAAGCAGCGTCAGATGTCGGGGGCCCTCAGCCATGTGCAGCCAGGAGCCCCCTGCAGGCTCAACAGCAGAGGGCCCGGGTCCCCTGTGCAGTACCAGCTTTCTGTCTTCCAAGAACCCCTGAGAAAATACCCAGGCCAGAGCTTGGGGACAGAGAGGCTGGGGGGCAACCCGCCCCCCCGCGG